AGTCAGAACAACAGGTAATCGAAGATGAAGAAGAGGATCTCCTTACTCCTCGAACCTTCGTCGTTCCCGAAGAGTCCGATGCAACCAAGTCAACTGTGGAGGAACTGGAGCAGGTCATACTTATCGAATACTTGCCCGAGAGAAAGGTATACCTGTGAACGGGATTACCCCCGAACTCAGGAAAAAACTCATTCAATTTCTTATTGATAATATGGATTGTGTTGCTTGGTCCCATTTAGATATGACAAGAATTCCACCGGAAATCACCACGCATCGGCTAGGCATTGATCCCAGGTTCAAACCGGTAAAGCAAAAGAGGAGGCCTCAGTCCAAGGTAAAACATGCCTTCATAAAAGACGAGGTAACCAAACTTCTTAAAATAGGATCCATTCGGGAGGTAAAGTACCCCGAGTGGCTAGCCAACGTAGTTGTAGTTCCTAAAAAGGGAAATAATCTTAGAATGTGTGTAGATTATAAGGACTTGAAAAAAGCATGTCTGAAAGATTCTTTCCCATTGCCAAACATCGATCGAATGATCGATGCCACGGCTGGCCACGAGATCTTGACTTTTCTCGACGCCTACTCCGGGTACAATCGAATTTAGATGAACCTGGAGGACCAGGAAAAGACTTCATTTATTACTAAATTTGAAACTTATTGTTACAGCGTAGTGCCCTTCGGGGTTAAAAATGCAGGAGCTACATACCAACGCCTAGTTAACAAAATGTTCGAAGAACAAATAGGTAAAACAATGGAAGTCTATATTGATGATATGTTGGTTAAGTCCCTGCGCGCAGAGGACCATTTAGTTCATTTGCAGGAAACATTTGCAATTTTGAGGAAATACAACATGAAGCATAACCTGGAGAAATGTGCCTTCGGAGTTGGCTCGGGTAAGTACCTCGGCTTCATGGTGTCCAATCGGGGTATCAAAATCAACCCTGATAAGATCAAGGCTATCGAGGATATCACGATCGTAGATAGTGTGAAGGCCGTGCAAAGGCTAACAAGGCGAATAGCTGCTTTGGGTCGATTCATTTCAAAGTCGTCAGACCGAAGTCACCATTTCTTTTCCTTGCTAAAAAAGAAAAAGGATTTTGCATGGACCCCGAAATGCCAACGAGCCCTGGAGGAACTAAAGCGATACTTATCGAACCCGCCTTTGCTTCATACCTCGAAGGCAGACGAAAAACTTTACCTATATTTGGCAGTGTCGGAGATAGCAGTAAGTGGGGTACTAGGTTTATTACGTGAGCCGAACTCTAGGAGATGCTGAAACAAGGTACCCTCACTTAGAAAAATTAGCACTTGCATGAATAAGCGTATCTCAAAAGCTAAAACCATACTTTCAATGTCATCCTATATGTGTATTAACCACTTACCCTCTTCGAAATGTTTTTCATAAGCCCGAGCTATCGGGCCGATTGGCCAAATGGGTCGTTGAACTTAGCGGGTACGATATCGAATATCAACCTCGAACGGCCATCAAGTCTCAAATCTTAGCTGACTTCGTAGCCGATTTCACGCTGGCCCTCGTACCCGAAGTGGAGAAAGAACTCCTGCTGAGTTCGGGTACATCATCGGGCGTATGGACCCTTTTCACAGACGGTGCCTCGAATGTGAAGGGGTCCGGGCTCGGCATTGTCTTGAAGTACCATTAGACAATCTATTAAAACTTCTAGAACTAACAATGAGGCCGAATATGAGGCCATGAATGCAGGTCTCGAGCTAGCTAAAAGCTTGGGAGCAGAGGTCATCGAGGCCAAGTGGGATTCTCTATTGGTGGTAAACCAAGTAAATGAAAGTTTCGAGGTTCGAGAGGATAGAATGCAGTGACACTTGGATAAGCTACATGTAACTTTGCACCGCTTCAAGGAGTGAACTCTGGATCATGTGCCTCGAGAATAAAATAGCGAGGCTGATGCACTTGCTAATCTGGGATCCTCGGTCGAAGAAGATGACATCCTCCCGGGGACTGTAGTCGAATTATCAAGGTCTGTGGTTGAAGAGGTTCATGCCGGAATAAATTCAACAAGTTTAACGTGGGACTGGAGGAATAAGTATATCGACTATCTAAGGAACGACTCCCGTCGGACCATAAAGAATCAAGGGCCATACGAACCAAAACTGATAGGTTTGCATTAGATAAAGATGGAACATTATACAGAAGAACGTTCGATGGGCCGGTATGTTTTGGGACCGGGGGACACCGATTATGTTCTTCGAGAGATCACGAAGGCACTTGTGGGAATCACTCCGGCGCCGAGTCTTTGGTTCGCAAAATCATCAGAGCAGGTTACTACTGGGATAGCATGGAAAAAGATACAAAAGAATTTGTCAAAAAATATGATAAGTGTCAACAATTCACACCAATGATCCATCAGCCCAGAGAACAACTCCATTTGGCCTTATCCCCGTGGCCTTTTGATGAAATGGGGAATGGATATAGTCGGCCCTCTGCCAACGGCCCTAGGTAAAGCTAAGTTTATTTTATTTATGACTGATTAATTTTACAAGTGGGTGGAAGCACAGGCCTTCGAGAAGGTCCGAAAAAAAGAAGTTATTAACTTCATCTGGGACCACATCATATGCCGGTTCGGGATACCCGCCGAGATTGTGTGTGACAATGGAAAGCAATTCATCGGCAACAAGGTGACGGAGTTCCTCGAAGCACACAAAATAAAGAGGATCCTATCAACACCATACCACCCAACTGGAAATGGACAGGCCGAGTCAACAAACAAAACTATCATTCAAAACCTAAAGAAAAGGTTGGACGATGCGAAGGGAAAATGGAGAGAAGTTCTACCCGAGGTCCTATGGGCATATCGAACAACATCAAAATCAAGCACGGGGGATACTCCGTTCTCTTTAATTTATGGCTCCGAGGCCCTCATCCCTGTCGAAGTCGGAGAGCCCAGTGCCAGGTTTCGACATGCATCGGAAGAATTAAATCACGAAGCCATGAATGCTATCCTCTAGCTTCTAGATGAAAAACGAGAAGCAGCACTTGTTTGGATGGCCGCACAAAAATAAAGGATCGAAAGATACTACAATAGAAGGACCAACCTCCGACACTTCGGAATCAGAGACTTAGTTCTACGGAAAGTTACCCTCAATACTCGAGACCCAATTGAAGGGAAGCCAGCACTTGTTTGGATGGCCGCACAAAAACAAAGGATCGAAAGATACTACAATAGAAGGACCAACCTCCGACACTTCAGAATCGGAGACTTAGTTCTACGAAATGTTACCCTCAATACTTGAGACCCAAATGAAGAGAAGCTAGGCCCGAATTGGGAAGGACCGTACCGAGTCCTCGGAGTTGTCGGCAAAGGGTCCTACAAACTTGGCACGATGGAAGGTGAACAACTAACAAACAATTGGAACGTATCATTACTCAAACGGTATTACTACTAAGGTATGACTTTATCCTTTTGTCTATTTGAGTTTAAAACTAACTCATTGCAGATCCTCGATCGAAGCTATCGAAGACACTCTTTCTGTACGAAGGCCTTAGGTTTTAACGCATGCGTTGCACTCTTTTTTCCTTAGATCGGATTTTGTCCCAAATGGGTTTTACCGGCAAGGTTTTTAACAAGGCAACAACTATATGCTACCTAAGGTGGACTCAACAGTATCCAAGGCTTCTTTTCAATCAACCTCGAATACTGGAGGCATCACCCTCGGAGGTCATATTTTTGAGGAAAATACTTCACCCCTAAGAGGACCTCGATAGGAAAATTTTGTAATGGGCCAAACGGTCAGATGAACCGTGTCCGTATAGAATAGTCGAGCCTCGACGGCAACATGTACGCATGTATCAATTATTTGAAGAAGCTTCCTATTTATATCAAAAACACTTTATGCCTCAAAGAAGTCTACTATTATACGAGCTCTACACTTATAACCTTACGGGAAACGACTCAAGGGCCAAAGCACGAATGTAACCCCCAAAATACTTGGGGACTGTCATCGATAGTCAACTCGCCCGAGCCATCTAAAACTCGGACTCATAAGACATCAAAGAGGCATTCCCCCGAAAAAAGGCCAAGGCCAATATACTCGGGGACTAACTTTTTGAACAAGTTCGAAAAGTTATCGGGAAACAAGTCTAAGAGACACACCCGAAGGCTACGGCCAAATTAAAGGCTAACCCTATTAAAAGGCTACGGCCATATAAAAGGCTACTACCATACTAAAGACTACGGCCATAAAAAAAGGCTACGGCCGAAATAATGCGCCTCGGAGACGTCCGACCTCCGCCATAAATTAAAGGCCTTCAAACACTTTGAAAAACCCAGTTAAATCAGGCTACCCTCAGCAAAAGCAAAAGGGCTTCGATAAAGTCAGCCCCTGAATAAACTAAAGGCTTCGATAACATCAGCCTTCGAAAAACCTCAAGAGGTATTCGGTTATGTTTACACAAACAAACTATTAATAAGGTTCCGATCCATCGAACCTCTGAAAAACCCAATGGGTACAAAAAACAAATGCTAAGGCATGATTAAAATTTTCATTAAGTCTTTAGCCGAAAAGAGGGAAAAATTATATAACCACTCTAGAGGCCGAATCGGCCCAAAGAGCCTAAGGGCCACCTTAAGAGCCTCAGGGCCAACTTAAAGAGCCTAAGGGCCGATATATATAAGAGCCTAAGGGCCAACTTCGAAAGGCTTAAGGGCCAACACATATAGTTCGAGACCCCGTTCTCACTCAACTCGGACTCAAGAGTCCCGATATCCCGAGCTCGCATCGAATTGATTTAAACTTAGCTCGAGGATTACTATATTTATCAATAAAAACCTAAGGGTTTATTATGTTCCGAATCCAAACCAATACTCAGACTAATCATTCGGGTTATACAATCAAACAAAAGGAAATTCAACACAAGTTGAGGATAGAGCAAAGAGATTCTTTATATTCACAAAGGATGTTTTACAAAGGTATATTTACAACGCCCATGAGGGGTCCCTACACAAAAAGGAAAAAGAGAACCTATTCTATTTTGGGATTACGTCCTCGGAAGCAGCTTCCTCGGGAATCGCACCCTCGGAGGTCATATTTTTGAGAGCCTCCTCCTCCTCGGGAACACCTTCCTCACCTTCCCCGCCCTCGCCACTCACAACATCTTCGTCATCTGAAGAGACGAGAAACCTGGCATCGGTTTCCTATGCCTTTGCTTCGGCCATCTCCTTAGAGAGGTCGAACCTGGGGCGTGGATTTCTTCGAGAGTCTCCCTCTGGGCTTGCCACTTGGACAAATCATTGATCCGTCTTCCCTGGTCGGAGGCCTCCCTTAGATCCGCTTGAATAGCTGCGGCATCTCTTAAGTACACGACTATGGTCTTATCAGCAGTGGCCCTCGTCTTCTCAACTTCAGCCTTAGCTTGTGCAGCTTCAGCCTGGGCTCCAGCAAGCTCCGTATCTAACTCCTCGATTTTCCTAGCCCGGGCCAGACCTTTCGCTTTAATACCTCGGAGTTGAGTTTCGGCCGGGGTCAGTTGGACTGTAACAACTTCCTTATCGGCAGCAAGCTGATCCATGTTCTTTTTCCACCTATGCCAATCGGCCTTAACTTGATCAACTTCGCCCCGGAGCTGCCCAATCATCTCCAACTTTTGCTGTTGCTGAGATAGTGAAGTGTTAGCCTCCAAAGTAGGGCCAAGAAGACCGTACCCTGTTAATATCATAGTTACCTGCTTATCTAGCTCGGCCTCGTTTTTCTGAGCTTTGGCCAATTCAGCCCGGAGGTCCCTAAGCTCTTCTTCCCTTTGGTTACAGAGGAGCCTCAGGGCCTTTTCTTTGCCAGAGACTTTCCTGAGCTCGGCTTCACATTGGCTCAGCTCGGCTCTAAACTTGATGATGGCCTATACATGAAGTGAAAATATGTCATTCAAAGAAAAGGAAAAAAAAGAAAAATTTACAGCGATTAAAGTTAATATTTACCTGAGAAAGGAGACGTTGAGACTCTTCAAAGATGGTAGCTGCATCATTAAGGTCGATGGTATCCTCAATCCCAGCATAACAATCATGAAAGGGGTCTTCCTCGAGGACCTTGCTCAGATCGAGCATACGCAAAGCGTTAGCATCTTCGATTGCCTCCTCGAAATAAGATGGTAGAGAAAGGGAGTGACCTGTTGTCATGGCCCCGAGATCTTCACTCAGGGCGTTCTGATTGGATTCGAGGGTTCCCGCACTCTCCCCTTCGGGTATAATTGTTGAAGGCGGAGGAAAGATCTCAATCTCCGGGAGCACGGGAGCCTTGCCCAAATCTTTCTTAGGGGTTCCCTCATCACGGGGTGTGGTCTCTAGTTCGGGGGGCTTGGCGGCCTCGATTGGTCTCCTAGTTCGAGGTACGAGCGCTGATTCTCCACCATCGTTCTCTTCATCCTCCGGGTATTGGACGGCCGAATCCGGGTCCACACGAGTGAGTTTTCTCCTCGGCTTTCGGGCAGGCACCACCTTGTCTTGAGAGTCTTCGGGCTTCGAAGCCCTCTTCCTTTTATTGTCCTTCCCCGATTTTGAAATCGAGGGCGCAGTCTTTTCCCCTGGCGGAGCCGGCCTCATTTCAGACACGTCTCCGATGCCTGCACAAGTAAACGTGAATAAGTTGACGCCACCAGCAAATGAAAAATATCTGAAACTTTGGAAGAGGATTTACCATGATGTTTGGCCTCCCACTTGCCCCTAGATAATTCACGCCATTTGCGCTCGTCGTAGGATGAGGTGGTAGCTAATTTTCGGACCCAATCCTCGAGGTCGGGGACCGCATGAGGTGCCCAGGCAGTGGCTACAGAAAGGGTGAAGGCATTGTGAGACATAAAAGTGGAATATGAATAAATACAGGGAAAAAGAGCTCCACTTACGATTAAAGTTCCATCTCTCCGGGAACGGCATTTTATCCCTGGGGATGACGTCCGAAGTCCTTACTCTGACGAACCGGCTCATCCAGTCTCGATCTTTGGTTTCGTCATTACTGGCAAAGAAGGCTTTCGTTGTTCGATGTTGCAGCTTGATAAGCCCTCGAAATAGCTGGGGACGATACAATCGACCCAGGTGGTTGAGGGTGAATTCCAACCCCTTGGCCTTCTCGGAAAAGTAGTGCAGCATGATCACGCTGCGCCAAAAGGAGGGGTGAATCTGGCCAAGGGTGACTTCGTATGTTTTGCAGAAGTCGATCACCACCGGATCGAGGGGATCTAGTGTGAAGAGGTAAGTGTAAACACTTAAAAACCCCTCCACGTGGGTAGTAATGCTTTACTCGGGGCTCGGGATCTGAACCAAGACCTCGTCGCCCCAGCCATAGTCCCTCTTCATGGCTACGAGGTTTTTCTCCGATATCAGACTAATATATCTATATGCATGCTCGCATCGGACCCAGGACATCAGGGGGATTTTCTATACCGAGATCCTTCTTAATTATGCAAGGGCCGGGGCTGATTTCTTCAAGAGTCGACGACACCACCGGTTTGGCCGGCTGAGAGGTAGAAGAAGTCGACGCTTTATCTTTTTTGGGGACCGTTTTGGAAGTTTTAGCCATGATCTTAGGCTAAAGAATGCAGACTGTGTCGGAATGTGGTATTTTTACAAGAACCAAGCGTTTTTCGGCTCTTAAAGAGGCGGTGGAAACAGACGATCAGAGAAAGAGATGAAGAAGGAAAAGATGTAATGAAAGAGTAAAGTTCTGCACTCAAAGGAATAGCCTCATATTTATAGAAAGGCGATGACGGTTCGGCGTCGCTAGTGGCCGACCAGTACTGGCGTGCATTCAATGATTTGGGGAAGTGGACCGTCGGGACGTTTCAGTCGCTTTGAGCGCCTACGTCACGGAAATGACGTCATTACTAAAGACTTCGGGAAAAACAAGGATCAAATCGTTTCTTATCATCTTACTCTAAGAAACACGGGGACTATCTGTATACGGCCAAAATCATATGCCTCCGATTTATAGGTTCGAGGGTCCATCCTAGGCCCAAGTCCGGGCAAGGTCGAGTTCGAGCCCGGTGGACCAGATTCGAGCTCGAAGACAGAGTGCAATGCTCGAGAGATAAGAGTACGAGGAGTGCCAGGGCTGAGTACGCTTGACCCCGAAATAGTACCGTTATGGATTTACAACGGAATGAGCTAGATTCCTGCCACGTCCCCAAAATCATGGCGCAAATCCCGGAGTAGGATCGTACAATTCCGTACTAGGCGGTTAGACAACTGTATCAGGAATATTCCCTACTGTAAATAGAAATATTCCATATTTAGGATTCCCCTATTATATAAAAGGGACCCCAATCATTTGTAACATCATCTAATCATTGAGAAAAAAATATACTCTCTGCTTTTTGCCTACTGTTCATCAGAATTATCCCTTTGCTTTACTGTTCTTACTTTACTTTTCTAGCTTGATTATTCTTATTGCTCTAAACCACCTCGAGGTCACTAAGCTCGAGGTCACTGCTGCTGAGTTATATTGGTTTGATTTACTTATTTCTTTCATTTCTACTTCATATTTCTTGATTATTAATTGGTATTGAATCTAATCACGTATCTTTAAAAACACAAATCAAATTTAATTGTTACTCGTATTTTCGAGATAAACAAACAACTTCACATCTAAAGCTCGAACTCAATACCTATAATCAAGGATGAAAGAATACTTATTTTTAAGCTTTGAGTCCCTTTATTTGGTAAGTATAAGGTATGGAAATGATTGGGTAGTTTTGCGTTTCAACGACAAAGTCTATATTGGTACCGGCAGATCTCTACCACTTGGCATAAACATCTCGAAGATAGCGGCATAAATATATATATATATTATATATATTATTATATATATATATATATATATATATATATATATATATATATAAAAGTTATTATATTTTTTTTAAATATTTAAATTTGAATCCACAATCTTAAAAGTTGTCTCTATATGAACCCATAGATTACGGGTTCGAACCGTGTAAGCAGTCACTAATGCTTTCAATAGAGCCGTGTAACCAGTCGATCACATCTCGAAGATAGTGGCGCTACATTTCTTAGGCAGCGGTTCATCCGAATCAAAGATAATGGCGATACGCGCGCGCGCACACACGCATAATATATATATATATTATATATATATATATAAATAAAATTGTCTCTGTATGAACCCATAGGTCATGGGTTCGAGCCGTATAAGCAGCCACTAATTAATGCTTTCAATAAAATAGACTGTCTACATTATTCCTTTTGGCGACCCTTCCTCAAAACCCTACATGAACGCAAGATAGCTTGTGTACTATGCTGTCCTTTTTTTAATCTTAAAAATACAATAAGTTCAGTATTAAAATTTTTTAAAAATCGAACTCAACAGATTTAAATTCTATTGTCTCTACTTGCAAAAGCCTATCAAACATATAGTCTTAGATTGAAGTATATAATCAAGAAGTGCTATTAGTTAATACTAAAAATTAAAGTAGTTGTTTCCAACTTGCCATAGACCAACTTGCACACATGTAAATAAATAATAAGTTGCTATTGTAGTATTATAATTACACCCCGACTTTGTTGCTTAATTCATTTATTTGCACGTCAATTTCAAGAAAGCAAGTGGTGTTGCTTCTAAATATGTAATCCAACGAAATTTTATTGCCCTTTGGTTGACTAAGACCTTCTGAAAAATAAGTTTAGTAATCCATAGTGAAGGAACTTAGGTGTATTTGGTATGATGAAAAATATTTTCTTAAAAATTAAGTGATTTTGTTACTTATTTTTAAGTATTTAGAATTGAATATAAGCAGAACATATTGTCTCAAGAGCATTTGTATATAATTCTAGGCATAACACTCTAGGAGAGAAGGTTTTGTGGGCTAAGGGTCGAGGTGGGGGTGGGGCCGGTGGGAGGTCGAGGGGGGTTAGCATGGGTCGGGGTGGGAGGTGGAATGGCGGTCGGAGTGAGTGAAATGCTATTTATGAAACTTGTTTTCCCTAGTCCCTCTGTGAAAGCTATTTTTCTTATTTTTAAGGAACTTATTTTTCTAGGAAAAATGCTTTCGACCAACCGAACATAAAAAATTTGAAAAACATATTTTCAAAAAGTTTTTTCCTCTGTACCAAACACACCCGTAGTCATGCACTTAGCAAAGTCGACCGACTCAGAATTTTTACCAGCAATATAAAGAATATATTTAAGCTCCAAGTCATTGTATACTATAATAGTTTCTTAATTTTATTTCCAATTTACAACTTGTTCATAGCAATTAAGTTGGCAACAAGTAACTTTAAGTGGTTAGCCAATATTTATGACTATCTAATATTAGCTCGATCTAACATTGGATGTATAAGGGTTTTGAAAGATTTTCTTATCAAGTGGTTGAGATTTGAAGTTGCTTTTAGGCTAAAGTCGTTGAAATATATAACCTAATTATTTTATAACTTCCTAATACATACCAATACTAACCAAATAAAATAACTTAAAGCTTAAATATTAGGCATTAATTATTCTTACTTAATTCTACACTTGGCTTTGCCCCCAACTTGTAGTCCATGGCTACAGCATCGAATCAACACTATATTATTACGAAGTATTACTTGTATTCCCTAGATTTGTCGAAACTTCTCTCATTATAAGATAGAATACATGTAACCTCTTTTTTTTTTTCGGGATCTTTACATAAATAATCGGTTAAATTCATTATTTACTTTTTCTAGCTGGTATATATAGATTATATACTGGTTATACATAATTATACACATATTTTACATATTTTATATATATATATATATATTCGCAGATCATTTTTTGCTTAAGCGATTGGTAGATGATTATTTTGTATCCTTAACTTGTAGGTGTGGGTAAGTAGAGGCGAATTTAGGATCATACAAACTAGAATAATTTATATTCGTTATATCATACAAACTAGAACAATTTATATACGTTTGCTTCACATTTTGAAACATTAAAATGCGTATTTGTCCCTACAATTGAGAGTTTCGTTGTAATTATAGCCAATGAAATGTATGAAGGTAATGGCTCTTTCTTCTTCTTTTTTGTTTTCGAAGGTTGACAAATTTTTTGTTATCCAGTTTGAAACAATGGTGCTCTGCCCTTCAAGTTCAGAAAGTGACAATTATCTTCTAAAAATCAAATAAAACCAATTAATCAATCAAATTCTCGATACGAGTTGATTTGATAGTTTAGATATTATTATTCATGATATGAACGATCCCATTAAAAATTATTGGGAGGTAATATTCGTTCATTAAACTTATAGGTTAAAGATTAAACATGGATTAAAACCCGAGATATTGTAAAGTAAAAAACCAATCAAATTATAGAAGTAACGACAATGATGTACCCGCTACCTTCAAATTATGGATATTATATTAGTGGAAAAAATGCATGACACATAGACTATCATCAAGGTGACACGTGGACCATCAACAAAGTGACAAGTGGCATTTCTAATTAGACGAGTTAGAGAATTCAAGAAGGTACAGGAGAACCCGGGATTTCTCTGGGAAAGGAGTCGGCTCTGATAGTTGGGAAAGAAGAAATCTAGCGGAATGTATAAAGACCATTAAAGAAGGAAGATGCACGAATCTGTCATAAATAAGGAAGGGAAATCGATATTAATCGCGGTTGCGGGAAATCCTTAGTCATAAACGCTTCCATTACAATTATATATGGTAACAGGTAATCAAGGCAATTAATGTCACGATCCGAACTTCCCGCCGTCGGGACCGTGATGGTGCCTAACATTGTACTCGCCAGGCAAGCCAACGTTACTGAATAATTTACCTTTTTCTTTTATCTTTTAATAATTAAAACTTAACAAAAGTAAACCAGCGGAAATAAATGCGGAATAACACAGTTTAAAAGATCATCTTTATACTAACAACGAACCGTAATAAATTCCACCCAGAACTGGTGTCACATACCACGAACAGTCTACGAATACTACAAATAATGGTCTGAACGAAAAGTATACATCTGTCTCGAAAGTAGATACAACAGAAATGAAATAGGATAGAAAGGGACGCCAGGGCCTGCGGACGCCTGCAGGACTACCTTGGGTCTCCGGGAAGCAGTGATAGCAACCAACCTCACGATCAGCCACTAGCTCCAAAATCTGCAC